AAGAAAGAATACTTATTTAAACTACCAAAGTAAGGAGACTTAAGTCAATGCAAAAACTGGCGCGGAATTATGCTCCTGTCCATCCCAAGCAAAATACTGTGTCGCATCATCCTGGAGAGAATCAAGTTAGCCGGCCTGGATGAAAAACTTCGACCGGAATAGGCTGGATTCAGGAGAAACAGGTCATCCATCGATCAAATCGCCACACTATGGATCATCATTGAGCAAAGCTAGGAATGTCAGTCACTTCTCTATCTCAACTCCGTCGACTTTGAAAAGGCCTTCAGCAGACAGCGTCGATCGAGAGGTCATTTGTCTATTACCTCGCTAGTACGGTTTCCCATCGACGATTATACATCTCATCTGACAGTTATACGACAATCCTGCATGCCAAGTAATCCACAACGGGAAACGTACGGAATCCTTCAAAGTGAAGACGGGAGTAAGACAAGGCTGTCTACTATCGCCAATGATCTTCCTGATTGCAGTAGATTGGATAATGCGACAGACAACGGGCAATGAGGAAACAGGCATAAAATGGACTCACACAAAAAACTCGGAGGATCTGGACTTCGCCGATGATGATATTTTTCTGATTTCCCACAAACTGGAAGATATGCAAGTGAAAAGCAACAAGCTGGCAGAAGAAGCATCAAAGAAGGGAAGGACTTCAGATGAACATAGATAAAACAGAGTTGATGAAGATTCTTGGCCAACACCAACAGCAACAACAGACGACGGACAGCATAAATGAGAGGAACCTAAAGGAAACAACCTCCTTTACACAACTACCTGGGAAGATTCGGTTCAAATACAGGCAGACGGAACTGACGAGGATATCAAAGCCAGAATCGGAAAAGCAAGACAAGCTTTCATTACTCTCAAGTCTGTTTGGAGGTCAACACTCAGAACTCGGCATCAAATATAAGATCCGGATTTTCAACTCCAATATGTAGTCAGTGCTACTTTACGGATCAGAGACTTGGTGTGCCATAAAGAGCATCCCAAACAAACTACAGACCTTCATTAACAGTTGTCTTCGCTCACTACTCAAGACCAGATGGCCAGAGAAGGTCAACAACAGGGATCTCTAGGAGCAAACCAACCAGGAGCCGACTGTGAAACAAAAAAGCAGGAAGAAATGGAGGTGGATTTGCCATACTTTGAGGGAACCATCAAGTGATATCACTAGACAAGCCATTTCTCGAGTGGAACCCGAATGGGAAGCAGCGAGTTGGTCGTTCAAGGGTGACTTGTGGGAGGTCATAATAATAATAATATATTCTCAATTTGTACATGAGGGACGCCAGTTTACAGGCATCATCAATATGATAAATTACATATACGATTATCGAGGATACATAATAATAATAATGTTTTAATAAAATACATGTTTTTTCCTACCTGTGTAGGACACACCAAATGTGCAGGCATGGATAAGTATTATTTAAATTTCATAAATTTGGTTTATAGTTAAATTACATGGTTGCTGACGTTTCTGTCTTTGGTTTGTGGGAACAATATGATAACCAGTCATTCAATGGAGCACATCATGAAATATAGGAATATTGTCTTTGCATTAACAAAAAACCCAAGTGTGTTTTGGATGGATTAAAAATACTCGGGAAAAAATAAAGCTTGAAGTATTTCCACAATATAACTTAGGTGTGTACAAATCCGAATCTAATTTTTGATTCATATCCAAATTGTGTAATAAGAAAGCTATTCTTACACATACGATCAGTTATGTTATAAGCTACAATCGTGACGTTGTATTACAAATTGATACTTTTCCATTGGTATAAGAGTATATTCCACAAATATAATCCAGGTTGCGTCGTGGGGAAAGTTAATTCGTTATTAACTAGGCAACTGAAAGATATGGGACCAATAATTTTTGCAGATCATTTGTCATTGTAAATGGTCAAACATCCATATTGTTTATTCTCATTCAGAAAGTCCATTGGAAGCTAAAAAGAAGACAAACAACAGCAAAGCAAAAGAAAGCAAGAGGAGTCCTTAAGGAGTGATTAATAAATATATACATATAAATTCTGTTTTGTAACTATGGTTATTTTTGTGCACTAATTAACTAGCCCCGTTATGCTAACTTTTATATTATGTGGGAACTAATATTACTGTCCTGTGTAGAAATGTTTATCCTCTAGTTCCAATAATATTAAAATTTATAATTGTAGTTTGTTGTAACTACACGTTTAAAGAACTTAAAACATCTATGTAGGGTGAAAAAGAGGGTGTAAGAGTCAGACGTAGAAGTGCATTGCCATCTTTGAGCAGTCTGGTGACTGAGGAGACGAATACTGGAAGTGTGTTTGCATCGCGCACATTAGCTGGTGGTCTATTCCAAATGACTGGAAACTTATTTAAGAAGAAGTTGTACCGCACGCTCTATAGCAGCTAGATTGTGATGGTTTCTAAAATTGTAACTGATGACAGTGGTAGGTTTAGCTATTGGCTCGGAGGAATGCAAGAGAAAATTAGTTAGCTTATGGTAAAAGATAAGGTTTAGCTTAAGGCGTCTTTTCCAGAGGGGTTCTAATCTTAGTCTGTCGTATCGCTCATGGTATTCCAGACCACTTCCTAAACCAAGAGTTCTTGAGGTAAACTGTCGTTGCACTCCTTCTAATTTTAGCTTGACATTTTGTCTGAGCCCGCTAAGAATAAACAGGCAGTATTCTAAGATAGGTCGGACACATACTTTGTATTATAAGGTCATGTGAGGAGGAGATGAAAGCATGTGGGCAGACTTGGAGCGGAGTGAAAAAGTAGGCAGAAAACGGAAAGCAATGGAGACGCGCACCTGAAGCCCTATGTTCCTCTAGGAATTAAAGGATATAATAATAACAATAAATCAGTGTGATCTGATATGCAGCTGTCGGCATATTTTCGTTATTTCATAGATATCCATGTTTATTGGCTCTGTATAGGTAGTAATTTGGACATTTGACATATTCCGCAGTGTCGTCGTGATCTTGGGAAGTATACATATGCCTTAATTGCATTGCTTTGTTAACTCCTACCTCCACTGAGTGTTTACAACAGCAGCTGTGGATTTATGTATTTCCTCGCCACTGTGGATAAAACATTGCCGCATTCTTTTTGGAAAGGAGAAGAGTTGGTAGATTATAAATGATGTCCAAGTAACTGATATCTTTCCATGTGGTGTTTCGGTAAGTTTCGACCTTGTTGTCTCATATTTCATTCGTATGTTGGTTACAGTTCACCCTTTGTATCAGGTAGACATAGTTCGATCGACTCTTAATTGAATGGGTGTTATTGTCATGACTGCTGCTTTTTTGTCTGGAATTATAAATAGAGGCAAAACAAACAACAGGTGTGGTCTCTAAGTTCATATATTAAATGGCCCTATGATTTAAGAAGCTCTTACATTGGAGTGAGCACAGGTGTCACTTAATATTTTGGATATTAGCCGCTTTCCTCACATCATCCAATTATCCATAGTCAACAAGGATTTTATCGTATCGACTGGAAAAACATATAGCATTCACTCGTCAAATCTACAACAGGAATCTTCGGATACCCTCTCTAACCACGTGGAACTCAGGATTTTATCCACAGCAAGCACTGTAAAGGAAAGTCTGACGTTTTGTTTTGCAATATACATCTGTATATCGTTGTTGTTTTGATACTTCGAAAATACAGCTATCTTATTTTTATATTCGAAGACTTTTCCGGAAATTGTGAAGTTTCTTGTTTCTGTAATGGTTCAAGTCTATCAAACGTGTAAGTACCGTCAAGAGACTGAGATCTAATACTAGTCAACCATCTGAAGGCCTCAGCCCCGTTGACGATTCTACACATTTTACACCAGCCACATCCAGAGTTATGCTATCTGATATCATGGAGGAACTGACAGAGAATGCAGCTTGTCGCAAAATTGATTTACTGACACTTCGGAAGTCAATAGCAGAACTACAGAGCAAGTTTGACAGCATTATGCCTCTCACGTAACTGCGTGGCCAATTACAAAACATCTGTTTTGAATCATTAACCAGATCCAAGCGCATAATTGACTATCTGGCCGAAGAAGCTGTTAAGAGGATTATGTCTTCACATAACGTCTTGGCCTATAACATTCCTGACATACAGCCGATCGCCAAACTTAAGATTTCGTGTCTAAAGGCTTGTAATATGTCGTTGACAGAATGTCAGGTTTTGCTTCTTCGTAAAAAAATACGAACCACCCGTGTCCGTTGCTTTTCAAGTTTAGGTCTACTGAAGAAGCCAGGAATTTTCTGAAATCTGGTGAGACAATAGGCTCTTCAACACCATACACTAACGTTAGGGTTGCACCTGATTTAACACCGTGCCAAAGGCGATGCCGCCGAGGAACGCTGAATGCTGATAACTCTAATAGGACAACTGTAGATGATGTTCCATGCGTTATTCCGTCAACTGAAATACCTGATCACGTCATGCAACAGACATTTTCGCGGGCACTGGCTAATGTTAGCCAAGCATTATACAACGATATTGATGCTGACACTGAAATGGTGGACATAGATGAGTCAACGGGAAATAATGTTGAAATACATTGTTTTCACACTGACGCAGAAGCCAAGACACCGAAACCATCAAAACCCATCCCACTGGTGCTCCAACCATCCCCTTATAGGTCAGTTACTCCCCAGTCTGACAATCCACACACTGTGAAGAACCAGTCAAATGTAGCTGCCCAAGTGTTATAACTGTAGGGAATTGAATGAAGATGTTTTCACCTTATTCTGTCTGCGCCTGAAACTAATCTGCCTATCTGCTTGTCGTACCTTCCGATTTAGTAAAGCGCGCAAATATCAAAAGACAAAGGCTGGACTGTGACTGTGTATTGAAGTGCAACAACGATAAAGAAAGCCATGGTATTTATACATTTTACAACAATATGGACAGTTAACAGCATTTAAAATAATTGATCTTAATAGCCAAAAACAAGGTGCGTGAGAGATGATAATATACCATATGTGCGAGATTGACAGTCACTACCAAAATGTGTGAGAATGATAATATACCATATATACAAGATTAAACAGTCAATACCAAAATATGTGGGATCCTATCACCTCTCCCCGTAAAGAGTGTAGGACTTGCTTTTTGGATCTATTTGAAAAGGTTTCGGAGCTCTTCTTTGTCGAGTTGACCTTTGCGTGGTACTGGATAGAGCGTGATCTGTGTGTCTGACACATAACTGTCCTTTTTCATTCGTACGATAATGCAGCAAGAATTTATCCAAAATTTCTTCTGTTGTTCCCTCCCCCTTCGCTTTTGCATAAGCACGCTTAAAGGTGTCGACGAAACGTTCAGTCTGTCCATTCGATTGGGGATGATACGGGGGGCTACGAATATGCTGGATGCCAAACAGTTTGCAGCAACCAAGTTTGTCCTGGAAGACAGAAGCGTGCTTTTGACGACGGCGTTGCAAGAGAGATTGATCAGATACATCTCCGGGAACAACGTTGTGTGGTGAAGACGAAACATTAGAGCATACTGAATTTAATGGTACATTAAAGATATGGAGCTTGTCTAACCAGTCAAGACCAAGCAAATTCAAATCATGGTAGTTTGTAACGTAACATACACCATTGAAGTGATGCTCACCAAACTGAACCTGGCAATTTATCTCACCCACGAGTTTCAGTATATCTCCAGAGACATTCTTGGCGACATGCTCGGTCGGCAGAATCTGTGGGCAACCAAGTTTGCGCCACGTAGTTCGGGAAATTACGGTGATATCTGATGCCGTATCCAACTGAAGACGAATACGTTTGCCGTTAATATCTAGTGTTATGTACTTACGTTTGCTGGCGAACTCGACTTTGGAAGTAGTGAAAACGGTCTGTACTCGAGGAGATTGTTTCGGCTTGAAACGACTACTTCTGTTCCTCACCGAAGAATTTTTCTGCGGTGTACAGTAACCCTCCTTATGTCCAAAACGGTGACAATTACGGCATTTATGCTTCTTGAAAGGACAGAACTTGACAAAATGCCACGAACCACAGTGCCAGCACACTGAAGGAGGTTTAGCTGAATTTTGAGACTGACGTTCTGTGTGCTTAACGGTGATCGGAGGACTTTTCACTGTGTTAATCGAACCAAATTCAGACGACTGTCGTTTGCACTCCACCATAGCAGTATCGTGCTTCAAGTTGATTAAACGTAGGCATTCTGCTGTCACCATTTGTAAAGTCATTTTCGGGTCTTGTTCCACGAGTGACAGAAGTCGAGTTCGTATGTCAGTATCTTCTGGGTTCTTCAACCCACAAATAAAAATCAAACACTTGAACTGATCTGATGTCATTTCGTGTGGTTTGAACCTTTCACATTCCTTGTTCACTTTGCCAGCGTAAGTCACATAATCATCGGAAGGCATTTTTGTCAACTGAAAACATTGATACCGAATATTAAACATGGATGACTGTTCACCAAAGATTTGTGATAAAACGGTGACTGTCTCATCGAATGATAACTCACGTGGGTTCTTAGGCAGAATGAAGTTAACATATCTGTTGTGCTCAACAGTACCAAGTTTTCTTAGTAACAATCGGACTTTGGCAGCATCATCAAACATGTAGCATTCAATACGGAAACGTCTTCGTAACGATTGAACCATGCATCAAATACGAGACCAGATATTGGGTCGTAGTTGAACTCACTGATGGAATTTGAGATGCTTTCATATTTGTCAGAATGAGATGTTGATGGAACTTGAATGGACAGCTTCTGAGTGAGAGCTTCGATTAATTTTAGTTGAGCTGCTTCATTCTGAACCTGCTGCTGCTGCAAGATAGATTTGAGATCGTCCAGAGAGATAGACATTGTAATTGGGTTGTAATTAACACAGTCAAAAATGTTATATAGCTGCGCTGAACAGAATAAAAACTGTCGTCGTTTGCTTGCTATAACTGCAATGAATTAAGGTAAAACCCCGTCGCCAATTTGTTATAACTGTAGGGAATTGAATGAAGACGTTTTCACCTTATTCTGTCTGCGCCTGAACTAATCTGCCTATCTGCTTGTCGTACCTTCCGATTTAGTAAAGCACGCAAATATCAAAAGACAAAGGCTGGACTGTGACTGTGTATTGAAGTGCAACAACGATAAAGAAAGCCATGGTATTTATACATTTTACAACAATATGGACAGCTAACAGCATTTGAAATAATTGATCTTAATAGCCAATAACAAAGTGCGTGAGAGATGATAATATACCATATGTGCGAGATTGACAGTCAATAACAAAATGTGTGAGAATGATAATATACCATATATACAAGATTAACAGTCAATACCAAAATGTGTGAGAATGATAATATACCATATATACAAGATTAACAGTCACTACCAAAATGTGTGAGAATGATAATATACCATATATACAAGATTAACAGTCACTAGCAAAATGTGTGAGAATGATAATATACCATATATACAAGATTAACAGTCACTACCAAAATGTGTGAGAATGATAATTTACCATATATACAAGATTAAACAGTCAATACCAAAATATGTGGGATCCTATCACCAAGTTTGCAAGTTTTCCAGGCGTTATGATAAACGTCCCATTTCCATTAAGAAAACTAAATCTCATGAGGTGTCCAAGCCACAGAAACCCTACATAGCATGTGCTGGCTGCCCTGTTAGCCATCACCAACCAGTTTATCATAAGAAAAGGGAGGAAGAAGTAAATAAATTAAATACTGGACCCGGAGCAAGAAAGCCTTTTGATATGAAGCAGACGAAAGCACCTTTAAGTCATCTTTCTAAGAGAAAGTGAAATATGGTAGACCAAGCTCCCGGGGGTAGGCCTAATTGGTGTCATGTGGAAAGCCAACTATATCCAAACACTAGTTCTAGACAAACAGCACAGCAAGATAGTAGGTATTATTCTACGCATCCACTACGTAAACCCCTTGTCAGCTAGCCCACTTCTAATGTTCTGTCGACTGAAAGTTATAGAAAATACCCCAATCATCGGCCACAGACCACAGTTAGCAAGCCAACAGAATCCATTCGTACATCTTATGTATCTAGTGGGGAGCATGCACAAAACTTGCTATGGTCTGATGAATACCCGAAACAGATACCTATACTTCATTCTTATACTGGCAACAAATTACCGAATCCTCATATAGGCTATACCTTCGGGCAGGATTTTCACCAGCGTCAGTTAACAGAAACACCTGGCATTATGCAAATAACACGCAGGATATCAGATCAATTCCTTGCTGGCATAGCGAACAGTCTACAGCTAGGGCAAGGAATATTTCCCGGGAGATGGCTGACACATTGTCAACACCAAACGCAGATACTAATATCTCTAAAATATTAATATCTGATTATCACACAGGTGTCCCTCACTGCATACCATATCCAAACGAAAGACCATCCCTGACTACCACCTCAAATCTTCCTAAGATCCAAAGATATTGGTAAATGAGTCTGATAACATGTATATAGAGGATACTCACGGATCATTTTACCAAGATGTTGTCCGCTCACTGAAACTACACAGCCAGTGCTTATCTATTATCCTAGTAAATACGAGATCAGTTCTAAGCAAACAATTAACACTAAGTACATTAGCTTCTATATGCAGGCCGTCATTGATTATGATCACCGAAGCCTAGTGCTGAAGTGAAATCTCCAATGACAGCCTAAGTATTGACAAATACAACCCTTTCCGAGGGGACAAACAGACAAGTCGTGAGGGTGGAAGACTAATTTACTGTGAACAATCCTTGCGTGCAACCCAGTTTAGTAACCCAATTCTGTCACAACTCAATGACTCGGTCTGGGTCAAAATAAAAGTTGTCAGAAGTAAACCTATACTTGTGGATTGTATGTACCGACCCCCTTCATCCAGCAGGAAATATGATAATATGCTCAGCAATATCTTTAATGTTACAGCCAATCTTCCTTTCAGTTATAAAATTATCGAAGGCGATTTCAACTTGCCAGAAGTATCATGGTCTTAACTCCGAGGACCTCAAAGGTACGATAATCTCATAAATTCCATCGTCACAGCAGGGTGGAGACAACACATAAATTCACCCACTAGATCCGCAAATATCCTAGACCTTATTTTCACGAACAACATAACGCCATCTACAGTACATGTGGGACATGAATTTCCAGGTAGTGACCATAGAATAGTAGTTTGTTCTTTTGACATCTTTCCTGAAACAAAACGCAGAGATGAAGCTGGTCAGATACATATGAGATTGTACACACATGCTGACTGGGAATTGTATCAGCACCTAATTAGATGTTCGAATTTGGGACTCGTACTTTTCGAACCAGTCCTTAGATGCAATTCTTAACAACTTCTATCAGAATATTAACTCAATTCACGACGTCATTGCATCTGCGAAGATTCTTAGCTTCAGATTCCCCCAAAGCGATTATAATCCGACATCGTTTAGAAGAAGTCTACGAAAGCACTCAATTAAATACTACAGATATTATGTGTCAGCCACGTCTCGTAAACTGTCAATGCCCAGCTCTTGCCACGCTGGGACTCACGCTGTTCCTTAAAGTTTCTCAGAAACGCTTAGTAATAACGGACGCAAAACCAAAACACCGATTGGCCACTCGAGAATTCTTTATTGTAACACCAACATATAGCCAACTTTAAAATTAAGCTTTAAAACTAAGGTATTTGAACAAATATTACAATAATAAATCACAATATTACTTCTGGCGGTTTCGGCCCGACTTCTTTCTGAACAGCGACCGATGTGACGATGACTGGTGTATTGATGCCTCCGCGAAAATTGAGGAAGTTGGTTTTGAGAAAACAACTATGAATTGATCGTTCAATCTTCAACTACATTGACATTATGACTTATCATCATTAGTTGCCGTTACGTCTCTTCTCAATAGAATTGAAGAGTTAAGAAATATAGGCCTCAGAAACAAAAAAATGCAGGCCATTCATGCACCGCATAACTCAGAAAAAGTAGCCAAACTTTTCAAAAGTAGGTTGGCGAACCCCAAAACATCCTATCCGAAAATAATATACTTAGACGGCATTGCTTACGAAAATAATGAGGCGATATGTGAACTGTTTAGCAAGCACATCGCCAGATTATACAACTTAGAGAACGATGAGGTCGTGGATTTCCCACGTAAAACAGACGAATGTTTAAGTGACATAATTTTCACCACACATGAGATCGATAAAGCTATCACAAATCGTAAGCTTAGTAACACTACTGGTCCAGATGGTATATCTTCCGTTCTGCTGAAAAACGGTGGTAATGACATGAATTTACTCTTACTCAAGTTATACTCAATATCATTAGGCGATGGGACATACCCCAACTTCTGGAAGAAGTCTTATATTGTACCTACCCATAAATACGGGCCTATAGCTGATATCAACAACTACCGCCCCATCAACATCACGTCTGTAGTTTCCTGTGTAATGGAAAAGATAGTCAAGACTCAAATCATTCAGTACTTCCTGTCAAATGACCTACTATCCCCATCCCAATACAGTTTCTTAAGTAGAAGGTCGTGCATAACTTGCCACTTAGATTATTTTGACTACATTACACAAAGCATTGATAATGGGCGTTCGGTAACAACATTGTTTCTCGACGTTAGCAAGGCCTTCGATAAAGTCCCACACATCAGACCCCTAACAAAACTCCAATCCTACGGAATAACCGGAAAGCTTCTCAAATGGATAAGTTCTTTTCTCACAGAAAGACAGCAATAAGTCAAAATCAACCACCAGCTGTCTTCCTCAAAGCCGATAACCAGTGGTGTAATACAAGGTAGTGTTCTTGGCCCTATTCTATTCCTCTTATTTATAAATGACATAGTCTCTGTAATCAAGTATGGCAAGCCATGCCTTTTTACAGATGATCTCAAGATAGTATATGATTATGGGTGCGGTGATATGAGCGTCGAAAGCAAGATCCGACAAGACTTAAACGATCTAGGCGATTGGAGCGAAAAGTGGCGACTGACTTTCAACCCAGACAAGTGCGGTATAACCCACCTTGGACGCTGGAAACTGAGAATGTGCCTATATATATATACGGTAAGCTCCTCTCAAAACTGAACACAGTCACAGATCTCGGGATAACATACTCAGATTTATCCTTTCCGATCATGCAAATAAGGTTGCATCTGACTGTAAACGAATTACTGGCTTTGTACTGCGTAACTTCTACACCCAAGAAGCAAGATTAGCTATATACAGGACATGTATCCGTCCAAACTTGAATATTGTGCTCTCCTATTTAGTAACCTCAGGTCTGTAGACAGAAAAAAATCGAAAGTGTCCTGAGATTCCTCACGAAACGCATAAAAGGGTTTGGCCAACAAGTGGAATATGTTGAGAGGTGAGTACGTCTGAAATTAGAGCCTCTGTGGTTAAGGAGAGTGAAGTGTTACTCCTTTCTGCTGTTCAAAGTCATTAGGAAACATTGCTACAGTGACTCATCCATAATGTGGGAAAATATTAAATCAAATCAGCTGCGAAACCACGACTACCTTGTCAGTGTGGCTACCCATAGAAAATCCATTAAGGCAAACTTTTTCGCCATAAAATATTGCACTCTTTGGAACCAACTACCACCTGAAATAAGATGCTGTGAAAACCCCGATGGGTTCAAACGGAGCCTAGAAAGACACTTTAACATGTCCACCCTAGCTCGTCTAAAAGACCACAACTGTTGGTAGAACGGAAATTGAAGGCCATTCCAGTCTTCAGTAAAGTCACATACGTATAACTCGACTCTAATACTCACGCAGCGAACGTTAACTAATTTATTGATTTCTACTCTCTATAATCTTCACTAAGTTGTGTTGGTAAAAGTAACCCTGAAAATAATTAT